TGTGTACTGCCTTCATGGTTACTAGACGTCTGAATACGTTGAACTTTATAATTTTGCCATAAAGGAAGAATGCATAATTGGCAACCTGCATGCAATTTTTTCTCCCTGACGACTGATACTCTAAGGGCAGAACAGCCAGTGAGGTTATTGAAACGAAAGGAGCGTTTCAGATGTATATTTGATTCGTAAAGGTAAAAAAATAACTAACTCGCGGTCTTCATTCTTGCCTCTTGCTTTTGGTGTCGTATGGTTAGTAAGTTGGTCAGAGCCATGGAACCATATTGGTGGGAATTCCTTGCTGCTGCTTTTGAGAAAGACAGACAGTTACTAATTGAGGAATTCACGGCTGTAGTCAGGATGAGCCTAATAGCCCATTTTTTCTCCGTCTCACTGCTTCGCTGCAGACTGACGGGGCGTCTTCACTTTGTTTACTCAGTGCTCTTGGGTTTCCTGCTATATTTTAAGCCGAAATCAAATAGCTACCCCGCAATCGTTCTCACCATAAATCAAGCCTGAGCTAGAGCCGGGACGATTCGAACTGCCCTTAATCATTATTGACGGCATCGTCTTCTCGTCTCCCAACTGTAGAAGGAGCCATGCGAGCGCGAACTCACTACAGGAAAAAATAGGCCTGCACCTATGTCCTAGCGACGAAACACTCGAAGTTGTATGACTAGACGGTGTTTATAATTGGTCCCATGAAAAAAGTTCCCTGAGCTTGGCCACTAACATCCTCGTCATTACTTGACACGCCAGGACTACAACTTTACAATCGCCAGCCATTCTACATGCCAATGACCAATGCTACCCTGCGACTAATGGGCCAGCCTACGCCGTGGCATTTATGTCAAACATCACCAGTCGTAGACATGCATAGGCCCGGGGTCACCAGCGCTTAAAACAGCCTGCTCGTACTGGAGCGTTCAGGTGGTGTACGTCTGTCTTTTCCGAAGACGAAAACATATGTGCTCCATCAGCTGAATGATTCGTCTTAACGGCATCCACCAGAGCGTCTATGGCGTGCGCACGGCTGCTTGTACACTTCAGCCCTAGCGAGCAAGTGGAAGAGCGGAAATGTGTATCCCCGATGTTTCGTAGCTAATCCCCACCTGAACTTTGTGATCTTTGGTCCTCTACTAATGGTATAGCTTCTAGCTAGTGGTGTACTATCTTCGATCCCTCGATCTCAACCCCCAAGTGGACCATGGTTTACTTTTCTAAACCTCCCTATGAATGCATTTAGCAACTAATTTGCCCTTTTTATTGTTAATTGTTTATCAACCTCCTTTGATAAAACTCCGTCGGTTGTGCTCCTACGCCCAGAACCTCACCTGGGATCAGTGCAACCGGAAGCACATGGTCAGCAGCCACTGCCAGGCAGC